ACTCTCTCATTTCACTCAATACAGATCCCCTCCCTTCTCTCATCATTCCATCTCACATACTTCCGAATCTTTTGATTCTTGGTCTGGATTTCAATATTGATCCAATATTAGTGTGCTACTGGTGCTCCTCAGTAGTAAAAAGAAACTTCAAATTATTATTTTTGTTTTGTTCGTGCCCATGTTGTCTAGTGTTTACTAGGGCTGTCACGATAGATCGATGCATCGATACAACTACCGATAGTTGGAGATATCGATAGTTTTTTCGACCATCGCGATGCATCGGCAAAATATTTTAAAGGGGAAATGTCCCATTGGATTGAGGCAAGTACTGTATAATACAGTCCGTCCGGGCGGGGAAAGGAAGAAGCGCCGTGACCCGCATGGGCTTGGAATTTCTAATCACAATTAAATTCTGGAAATGCTGGGACTGACTATATGAAAGACGGGAAAGGAAAAAAAAAAAGTCGGATCGGAGACAGCGAGTGGGAAAGGAGAGGTGAGGGGGGGGGGGGGAAGCCCAAGAAACAATTTTTTTATCGTCAGTTTCAGTCTCTGGCTCGATCTAATCAGGAGCATGCTGCAGATGTGGACTGTTCTTATACTCCCTTGATTTCGAAACGTACATTGGTTAATCCCCTCTCTATATTCCTGTCTATCACTTTAGTATGCAGGCTTAACGTTTTTAATTTTTAACTTGCCTTGGGCGTTTTATCTCTACTTAAGGTGAAATCAAAGTGAATGTTTTACATGGACGTTGCTTATTCCAGGCCTATACCGATGTTTCGGCAACCGCCGGTATGGCACCATCAGAAGGTTTCCTATCTGCCGGTGTCGATGTCCAAAGAGTGTAGAACGAAGAAAATTAGGGCTGTCCTGATGCTACCATCGATGAACGGATGTCATTTTCGATAGTTGGAGGCATGGTAGGTTTCATTACTCTTTGCCAAGGTCACACATTCCCCTTGCACTCCCTATCACAAGGGTGAGATTATGGAAGCCGGATCGAGGTCCACGCTCCGATCGCGGCGAGAAATTATGGAATCCTCCGGCGCAAACCCCCCCGATGCATCGATACGCTATCGATAGTTTAGGTCGATGCATCGATGCTTTGGAAACTGCTATCGTGACCGCCCTAGTGTTTACTATACTTTCCTCTGACCGAATTGAGATGTGTTTCTGCTTAATTTTCCCAGGGACGTCATTTAGTAAAACTGCTAGGGGGGCTAAGAAGCTATGCAACTTGAAACAAAAATAGTTCAGAGAAATGTTGCCTGCTTCAATTTCGCGAATTTAACGAGGCACAGTCAATCGCGAAGCTGAATCGCTCGTGAATTTTTTCCCCGTACGGCTAATGCCCAAAACATGGGGGGCGGTCCAGTTCGTGAAACTCAAATTTCGCGAAAAAAAAAAAATTTTAGGATTTCATATTAAATTGGCGCCAGAAATCCTCCCTGCGTTGTCTTGCGAAGTTGGCTGCAAGAAGAATGGTATTTAATTAGATGAAACCGAGTACTGAGTGCCGAGTGCCGAGTGCCGAGTGCCGAGTGCCGAGTGCCGAGTGCCGAGTGCCGAGTGCCGAGTGCCGAGTGCCGAGTGCAACCCATGGTTGCACTCGGCAGCAGAAAATCTCTCAAATAAAAGTTCAAGAAACGTAAAGGAAGATTCGCAGAAGTTCTCGCAAAAGGTTTTAACGCCCTCGAAATTGATTAGATTTACCGCAACGGCGGATAGCAATGAACTTTCAATTTCCGCGAATCTGTCAAAATCAAATGGGGGGGGCAAGGGGGCCGTTGTCCCCCTTGGCCCCCCCCCCCCCCCCCCC